ATTAACTCATTCAAGTAACCTAGTGCCCATGTGCCTATCAGTTTAGACAGTGCTGAAATGTTTAAAACAGAACTGCAATCCACTACCTAACACCAGTCTAGCCTTTAGGCAACACCAGCCACTGCTAACAATTTGGTATCTTCTCTATGATCATTTATATCAAACAAAATTTCCGTGTCCCCATTCAACCTGTTTTTCTCCCCTTACTTCAGAGCATATGCAGTTGTTTTCAGAGAGCCCTATGGCTCTGTAAGGGTAGACTCAGAGAAGCCTGGGCAGAACTGGACTATTGAAAGGTAGTTCCCAGGAAAAGGCGAGGAAAGCACCAGGGAAGAAATGCTGGGTTGCCTTAGACTAGCGTTTATCCACCCAGCACAGTGCCAGGTTGTCCCATAGTCTGACAGTGGCCCTGCTTGGTCAGTGCTGGTGGACAGCCATCTTGTATGTTCCTCTTCTTGGGCTACCATGTCCAGTTTCCTTCTTCTTAAAGATCAAGGCAGGCAGACAACCCCAGACAATCTGAGCCTCTCAGGTTCAGCCATTGAATTATATACCAGTCACTGTGAATGTTAGAGGGTGGAGTTGAGGGAGGTGTTGCTTAGCAACAGCATCCATAGTGGGCTTGAGGATTTGGCTGAAGTGAGTCTATGCGAAGTGAGTGAGTCCACTCACTTCTACAGAAGCCAATTTGTTCTCCAGCCACATTAATGGAGGCATGGCATTTAGGGTAAAGGGGAGGACTGCCTACCAGGCTCTCGGCCTGTCAGATGTCATCAGTAGTAATGGATTCATCTGAAGCATATTATTTCTGAAGGGTCTGGCACTCAGGAGTGTGGGCGGAGCAGCACCTTAGAAGAGAAGATTGTCTGAAGGAACTGAGGCTACAGAGCCTAAAAGGGGTGCCATTTGCAAACCCAGTAAAGTCACTGTGCCTAGTTCCAGTGGCCCTAGATTCAGGAGAACTTACTGCTAATAGAAGTATAGTGTCAGACAAGTTATTCAACCGCTGGGAGCCACATTTCCTTAAGTTTTAAAAGAAGATATTTCATGTGTGATTTCTGAGGCCTCCTCTTGTCTGGGGGCCTAACTTTCATCTACTTTTTATTAACTTATTAACTAATTCAGATATGGAACTGTGAACATAGCTAGACTCTGGGGAGCACTATCTAACCTGCCCCCCCTTTTAAAAAGATTTGTTTTTATGTCTATGAGTGTTTACATTTGTGTATGTATGGGCGCTACATCTATGTCTGTTGCCCTCAGAGTCCAGGAGAGGGCATCAGATCCCCTGGAACTGGAGTTGCAAATGATGTTAAGTCACCATGTGTGTGCTGGGAAGTAAACCCAGGTCCTCCACAAGAGCAGCAAGTGCTCTTAACTGCTGGCCATCTCTCTATCTCCTTTGGCTTTCTTTTTTATTATCTATGGTCTTCAAGTTGGGGAGGTGTCATGAGAGAGGGGTTGGAGACTGCACTGCACTGAGAAGAGCGCCCTGGTTTCTGAGACATTCAGAGGAGATCATCTCTCAGCAGTAAGATGAAATCTTTTTCCTTTCGATTACTGTGCTTTGTTTACTAATAGAAAATTTTAATATTTACTAAATAGGATTTATGACTTTTTAAAGCAATTTTAACATTTTGGATAATATAATATCACATCATTGATCCCTTCCCTTCTTCCTCCCAAGCCCTCCTTGCCGCCTTTCAAAATTCACGCACCTCTTTTTCTTTAATTGTTGTTGCATAAATATAGAAATATAACCTGCTTAGTCTGTATAACGTTGCTTGCATGTATGTGTTTTCAGGGCTGACCATGTGGTATTGGATAGCCAACTGGTGTGTTCTTCTCTGGGAAAGATGATCTCTCCTGCTCTCAGCACTCCTAAATTGCCTAGAGATGTTGGTGTTAGACTGAGGTCTCCTGAACTTTCCACTACCCATGTTAGCTTGTCTATTGCTGTCAGCCTGACGGAACAAGGTTGCTGTGTTGGTGAGACTTCAGTGGTGTAGCTTCTAACACTGGGACACCATCTCACAGAAAACTTCCTGCTTCTCTGGCTCTTGCAATCTTTCTGTCCCCTCTTCCTCAATGATCCCCCAGCCTTAGGGTGTTGAATTATAGATGTATCAGCTGGGCCTGGGCTCCACAACTCTGCATTTTGATGGGTTGTACTTTTTTTTTTTTTTAACAGTCTCTATCTGTTGCAAAAATAAGTTTCCTTGATGAGGAGTGAGAACTACACTTTTCTGTGGGTCCAAAGCCAAATATGTAGAGTGTAGTTAGGGATTATGCTGGTTTAGTAACACAGTGGTTTCAGTTTCTCCTCTGAGATCTATGACTTCATTAACACTAGGTAGTTGGCTAGGTTTCCAGTGCCAGTCATGATTCCCCTATTGTTGAGTGAGTTTTAAATCTAATTAGAGAGCTGTTGGTTCCTGCCAAGGTATGCATGCCACTGCGGTACCCTTAGGGTGATTGTGCTGTTTGTTGCTGTGGTTCATAATTCTCATAACTGGGTAGGACTGTTGGTTGTTTCCATCAATTGGAACCTTGCATGGTACTTTTCTGGTTGAGTTGATATTGGTAATCTATAGATTAGGCAGCCAGAACTATTACTATTAGCGCTTAGTAAATAAATCAGAACTGTATAAGTCTTTGATGTTAGTTAATTTTGTTATTAGTCCTGAGAAATGTTGATAAAAAATTAATCCTGAGAAGAATTATTATTGTGAGCCTCACCCTACAGATGGGAACAGCTAAGGCAGAGTGGTTAAGAAGTCGCCTGAGATCACCTGGCCGATTTTGATGTATTCTTTCTGCAGGTTGAACACTTGATAGAAAATCAAATTCACACATTCCTTCTGAAACAGTATCTAAACTTAGTCCTCCTAAAAACCCCCTTCTCACCACTGTCCAGCCTCCTCCCTGCAACTCCCACCAAAGAGCAACAGAACAAGAATGGCCTTTGGGAAGTGCCAACAGCTCCCTCCAAAATATAGAAGCACTTTCTGCACTGAGCAAAATGACTAAACTCCCTTTCTTTAAGTGGCTCCATCAGTTTAAGGGCCACTCAAAGAGGTGAGTCCTATCTCTCATTCCTTCGGCATTTTTAAAAATAGTGTTAACATGACTGGTTGCTGAGTTGTAAATCTTCTCAGATCCTTTTAGAAAGATGACAGAATGCAAGTAATGAATAACTGCCGTGTGTTTTATGTTCTAGCCTCTGCTCTTATTTATTAGAAGTCTATGTGCTTTATCTGCACTTTAGAGACAGAGAACTTTGTAGATTAGTGTCTATTAGGGGCCCAGCTTTGAGTAATCACCCCAATTACTACTCCATTTTACAGATATGCAAATGGGGCTTCAGGGGGAAAAACTGGTTTATCCAGTTCTTACTCAGATCCAATTGCTTTTGCTCCTAACCATTGCCCTAGTCCTAAACATCTTCTCTAGATAGCTGTGGAACTTTGTGTGGGCTAGTTTGTTTTTGCTTTTGTCTTTATTTTGTTGTTTGGTTGGCTGGGCTTTTTGTTTGTGTGGGTACAAGGTCTTTCTATGTAGCCCTGGTTGTCTGGAATTTGCTATATAGACCAGGCTAGCCTGGACCTCACCTGCCTCTGCTTCCTGAGTACAGAATCTACTATGCCTGACTAAAAAATATGGAACACTTCCTGAATTTGTGTGTCATTCTCCCCCAAGGCCCATGTAATCTCTGGATTGTTCAGTTTTAGTGTATGTGCTACCAATGAGAGCACTACTACTAATTTTCTGTAACTTGACACATGTTAGAGTTATCTGGGGGAAAGGGACTGCAATTGAAAAGATGCCTGCATCAGATTGACCTATAGACAAGTCTGTGGAGCATTTTCTTGATTAATGATTCATGTGGGTGGTGCCACCCCTGGGCAGGTGATCCTGTGTCGTATAAGAAGTAAGCAATGGGGAACAAGGCAGCAAGAGTCATCTCCCTCTGCCTACAGTCTCAGCTTCAGTTCCTGCCTTCAGGTTCCTGCCCCACCTTCCCGGATGATAGACTACAAGCTGTAAGATGAAATAGACCCTTTCCTCCTCAAGTTGCTCTTGGCCACGGTGTTTTATCACAGCTAAAGAAAAATGTTATATAGCTGGAGAGTATTTTTCAATAAGAAGAAATGGAACCTGATACATGCTATGGCAGAGGTGAAATCGAATAATAGGCTAAGTTAAAAAACAAAAACCAGACACAAAAGTCCACAGATTATGTGATTCTATTTGTAGGAAGTGTCTGTAACAGAAAACTCGTAGGCAGAACATGATTGGTTGGTTGCTCATGACTGGGAGCTTTGGAGATGGTGCATGGCTGACAACAGGATGAAGTTTCACCATGAAATGATGCCAGTGTCCTAAAACTGTGTTGATAGTTGATATATTAGTTTCATAAGGCTGATACAGTTAAACACCACATGCTTGTCTATGGTTCTGGAGGTTGGGAATTAGCAATGGCTTCAGCAAGGCTGTTCTGGCTGCTTCTTCCTATAGACTTCCTGCAGGTACCAGGCTCCCTGCATATTTTGACTTGCCTGCTTCATCTTCAAAGCCAGCGGTGTAGTGTCTTCAGCTGTCTGTGACATAGACAGTGACTTGACATACACGTGTCTTTCAATTTAAGTAGTCTTGTGCGGGACCCACCCCCCAATAGCCTAGGAAAATCTCTATCAGATGATCAGCAATGTCCCCCCGAATGTGTCAACTAGAAGAGCAGCTTGTTATCCTCCTCTTTCCCCACTCCTGTCTGTGTAGTGGGAACCTCTGAGATGAGCTGTTTCTGGATACTCTCTGCCATCCTGGCCCTTCGAATAACCACACGTGGGAAGACAGAACATGGAGACTTTGAAAGCGCAGACCATCGTTTTTCTCATGTGAGTAATCTTGCTCTCCCCACACTCTTAACTTCTGAGCTGTGGCATGAAGAGGGTAATAGAACTTGCTTCCTGAAATTTAATTGAGATAATCCAAGTGAAGCTTGTAGCACACAGAAAACACTCAATAATGGTTTATTCTGCGCCTGATGATGGCTATGTCCTGAGTCATAGATTCTTCTGAAGAATGGGGCAATGACTCCTGCTTGTAGTCTCATGGGGTTATTTTTGAAGCTCTAACAAGCTAATAGCCTGGAATGTGTTCTGAGTGGGAACAAAAGCTGGGCAAGTGCAGGAGGTGATGGTGATTCTTTTCAAGGGATACTTAGCTCCCTGCAGACTCCAAATGATGCTGGCTCAGAGGAGCCAGCATTGCTACTGAGGACCAGCTCTCCCCTGCCATCAGTCTCATTTAGCACCCCTCCCCTCTCTGGAGACATTGGGCAACTATTGGATAACTTGATGCCCAGCTGCCTCCAGACCAGACAACACTGACTGCAAACAAAGCCCAGGAGGGCAAGCTGAGTTAGACTAGATGCGAGCAGCTCCAGTGCTTGTACTTCTGGTCCCTGGGGATGGGGGGTGGGGTGGGGGATAGTCTGGCATGGAGTGCTAACTCTCCTTTTGTTTAAAATGACTATGGCACTTGGTAATCTTTTCCACAAAGTCTCAATGTGAAGCTTTTTAGTGTCAAGAAAGATGAACAAAGCTTGAAGGGGCTGTGCAATGGGCTGGGGTGTTTATCCAACTTCCATCAAAAGCTAGTCAATGCAGATTAAAGTTAGGGTACAGAGTAAGTGTGATGAAAGGCTGAAGTTAGTTAATTTAAGTATTTCCCCAAAAGGCAACCCAGTGTAGAAGGAGGCCTGGGTTTGGTTGCAACTGGATTTAGACCACCTCAGCCCTCACCTACACATTCTTCTTGGCTGAGGAGGAGAAATATATTCAGCCTAATATGACCTAGAAACAAATTAGCCTAAAGTTTCTCCTAAGAAGCCCTGATACCTCAAGTAGATGGGCTGTTTCTGGGGGCCCTGGCATCCTAGCCCTTTGCATAACTACAAGCGAAAAGGGCCCCCTTGACATCCCTTTGCTGTCAGCATCACAGACTCTGTCCTAAAATTTAATAGCCTCTTCTGCGCCAGGCTCTTTTAATGCACAGCCTTGTTTATTTCGCACAGTCTGCTTTCAAGGCAGCTATTCTCATCCTGTTATGGACCGAGGGAACTCCCCTGTTTCTGTTGGATATGTTGTTAGTCCCAGGACCGGCTCATCGGTTAACTCACTCCACATACATGTTCCTATGTAAGGCACTAAGACACACATGAATAAAGTTGTCCTGGCTCCCGGTAGTAGGCATTAATCAAAACCCTACAAAAGTATGCCAAACTGCACCTTTGGAAGAACTAATGTTAAACATAAGGTCTGGGTTGAAAGAAAGAGACCACTACGATAGACAGAGCAAACTTTGCTCTTGACCAAGTCGCTGTTCTTGGAAGATCCTTCACACAGAGGCAGGAAGTACACTTGGTTTTTATTCTAACTCAGGTAATGACCATGCCATTTCCATTTGGCTGGGGTTTGACCTCAATCTTTCTGATAGGCTAGTCTTAAAAGAATTGGCACACAGGAAATGAAGGAGGAAGAAGAAAATGGTTGCTGTACTAGGCTATCTAATTATTAGAATGCAGCAGGAGGACTTTACGGAAACAAAGGTTTTACCTGGGTAGTGTGTGTGTGTGTGTGTGTGTGTGTGTGTGTGTGTGTGTGTGTGTGTGTGTAATATTTACTGCACAAAACATAGTGTCTGTAAGTTCAGCCACCACTGCTGCAAGTGGCAGGGTTTTTGAAGGCTGGTTAGTATCTCACTGTGTTTATGTAGCACACTTTTTCAGTTGATGGACATCCATGTTGTTTCCAGGTTCTGGCTATTATGCATAATGCTCTGTGAACATAGTTAAGCACAAGTGTCTTTGTGGTATGGTTGGCATCCTTTGGGTATATGCCCAAGATTGGTATAGCTGGTTCTTGTGGTAGTTTGATTCCCAATTTTCTGACAAACTGCCATATTGATTTCCCCTGTACCCCACAAAATTGGGAAATCTAAAATGAATAGACAATTTTCTTGATAGGTACTACATACCAAAATTAAGTCAAGACCAGATAAACCATTTAAACAAACCTATTATTTCCCCTAAGGAAATAGAAACAGTCATTAAAAGTCTCCCAACCAAAACAGGCCCAGGGCCAGATGGTTTCAGTGCAGAATTCTACCAGAATTTCAAAAAAGAGCTAATACCAATACTCCTCAAATTGTTCCACACAATAAAAACAGAAGGAACACTGCCAAATTCTTTTTATGAGGCTACAATTACCCAACTTGCTTTTGTTATGTGTTTCATCACATCAATAGTAACCCTACCCAGGACACTAACTTACACCCCACCAGTACTATACAAGGTTCCTCTTTTCTCCACACCCTTGCCACACTTGTTATCTTATTTTTTAAGATTTATTTAAAAATTTTATTTATATGTTTGTATATGTGTGTGTCTGTGTGAATATATGCCCCATGTCTATGAGTGCTCATGAAGGCCAGAAGAAGCCATCAGATCCCCTGGGGCTGGAGTTATTTGTGAGCCTGGCTTAGGTGCCGGAAACTGAACTCTGATCCTCTGCAAGAACAGCAAGAACTCTTCTTAACCCTGAGCATCTCTCCAGCCCTTTGTCTCCTTTTTAAACAATAGCCTTCCTAATAGGTGAGGTTTCCATTTGCAATTCTCCAATGAGTGGTGATAGCGCTCTTGCATGTACCTATTGCCATTTCTATGCTTTCTTTGAAGAAAATTGTCTATTTGGGTCCATTTTTAAATTGGGTTATTTGATGTTTATTTTTCTGTAGCTGGAGGAGTCCCGCTCACCAGTTCTTTATCAGCTATGCAGCTGTGCATGTTTTAGCTTTTTATTTTGTCAGTTATTTCCATTGCTGTACGAAGCTTTTTAGCTTATTGTAGTCAGTTTCGTTTTGTTTTGACCTTCTTACCTATGTTTTTGGTCATCGTCAAGGCTAATTCAGGCACTTCCTTCACTTTCTCCCAAGAGTTTTCAAGCTTCAAGTTTTGCATGTAAGTCTGTAACCCATTCTTTATTGGTTGTTGGCATCAGATAATGTTGTGAGATCAAGGTTCAATGTCATACCTTTTCATGTTGAAATCCAGTTTTTCACAAACATTTTTTTGAAGGCCGTTCTCCCATTGTGTATTCCTGGTACCTGACTTAAGTCAGGGTTTTCCAAAGAAACAGAATTGATAGAAAGAGTATCAGCCACGAGACTGGATGTCTGTGCCATCCCAACCTGACCCTGAATGCCTGGGGGATTCCTGGAGACCTGCTTGCTGGTCTTCAGTCAAAATTAGAAGGCAGAACAAGTTGTTGGTGAAGGAATGCCACAGTGACAGGAAAAGTGGACTTGCCAGCAATAGTGGGGGCAAGCAGGCAAAACCCAGCTTTCTTCTTCTTTGTCTTTTATCCCTGCTGCCACCAGAAGGTGCCACCCATCTTCAGGGCAGGTCTTCATGCTTCACATAATCTGATCAAGGCAGTCCCTCACAGGAGTGCCTGGGAGCTTGTGTTTTCATTGATTCTAGATGCAATCAAGCGTACAACCTAGCTTAGCTGTCACAATGCGGTTGTAAAATTTAACAACCTGTGGGTTCCTTTATAGCTCCCTGTGCTGTCCAATTGCGCCATGTATCTATTTATGCCAGTTCCAGGCTTTTGTGCCTTTTATTTTTATTTATTTTTATCTTTACAGGCTTTTGTTTTGTTTTGTTTTTTAAACAGACTCAGCTGGCTGC